CTTGTGTTGGAGTTGAGAGCGAAGCGCAGATGGGATTAGTGATTATAAGACATAGTGGTGCTTCCAAGGCAACTTCAGTATTACCCCAAGCACCTAAGCGACGACATCTACTACTAACTACATCAAATATCCTGTTTCTACGCTCACTTGGATATCATGTCAACAACAACAAGAATCATGTACAAAAAGAGAAAAACTGAGGAGGCAGCAGCAGCAGCATCACATACTTCTCCGATGTTTGATCTATATCGATCTCCAGCATTCGATGAATCTATTCGCAAGGCTGAGTATAGATCTTATACGCCGTTCATCAAGTCATTTAATTGTAATGATGTTGTGGAATTTAGCATCAATCAAGTAGATTCGTTCTTTGCAATGAACGCTTCCCTTCTATCTATCAAAGGGAAAGTTGAAATAACTGGAGGAGGAGGAGCAGGAGATGTATCTTTAGCTCCAAACTTTGGTGCCTTCCTATTTGACTCTTGCACTTACAGTGAATCCGCTAGAGAAGTTGAAACAGTACGTGATCCTGGTATTGTAAGTACTGTCCGAGCTTACGTATGTTACAGTGAGGAAGACTCAAATCATATGGCTATAGCTGGATGGAACTATCCTTCAACACCTATAATGGCGTCAACACATAACAAGTCTTTTAGCTTGCTAATGCCGCTTAAACATATTTTCAACATTTTCAATGATTATCCTATGATTACGTGTGGCAGACAAACTCTCAGATTTGTGAGAGCTAGAAACGATAACGATTGTATCATTATCAAGGAAAAAACTGGAACGACGACGACAGCGAAAATAACTATTGAAAGCATGGAACTGAAAATCAAACATATTTACCCGAGTGATGATGTGAAAGAACAACTTTTGAAAGCTATTCAAACTGATAAGCCGATACTTATACCGTTTAGAAAATGGGATCTGAATGAACTGCCTGCAATTACCGCAGATGCGAGAAGAGAAATATGGTCAGTTAAAACTAGCACCGCAATCGAAAGACCACGTTTCATTATAGTATGTTTCCAAACCGGTAAACGTGACGTCGCAACCTCAGACCCTACCCTGTTTGATCACGTGAATGCTGCTAGTATTCGAGTATCTTTAAATGGTGAATACTATCCCAACGAACGTATGCAATTGGACTTTGCAAACAATCACTTTACTGAAGCTCATTTCAACTATAGCGACTTTCAAACCAGCTATACAACTTCTTCTTCTCCTCTGAAGAGATGTCTTTTAGATTATACCGCTTTTAAAAATCGCGCTTTGTTTGTTATTGACTGTTCCAAACAAGAGGAAACCATGAAATCATCAACTGTTGATGTTAGATTGGATATCGAAGCCGATACTGGCTTTCCAACCAACACCAAGGCCTACTGCATCATTATACATGACTGCTTAATCGAGTACTTCCCCCTCACCGAAGTTATTAAAACCATCTCGTAAGCAACGAAGGACTCTCAGTTCCGCATCAGACATCATGAGGATCGCGTTTGTTGACATTCAAGGCTTTACAGTTGACGGATTATTCGTACCTAAAGAACTATGTATCGAAATTGGTTTCAAGAAAAGTCATTACATCTTTACACCTCCGCAACCTTTTTCTACATTAAATACTAAAGACAAGAAAACTGTCGCTTACTTGGAGAAGAATTTCCATGGGCTTAAATATTCTTCCGGCGACGTTAAATATTCCAAGTTAAATGAAATAATTAAAAATAAGGTGATATATGCGGCTGACTATGTCTACGTTCGTGGAGAACAGAAAGCAAACTTTTTACTCAAGAAATGTCACATTTTTGGTGTTTTTCCCAACATTATTGATGTTTGCAAGTATGATGGTACACCGTGTGCTACTGGAAACTTTGTTGCTGATTCCAATCCATGCCACACCAACGGACAATTTTCCTGTACCCAGAGAAATGTTGAACGTCTACGCCACTGGTTTTCAAATATCATATTACCTATGTAGTTTTTTCTATTTTCAATAAAATATTAAACGTATTATTGTAGTTTTATTGAAAATACCTCTGGTTTGCGAAATAATTGTCAGAATGTCTATACTATTTTCATTTTGAACGGTATCATCCTGTATAATAATAACAGTACATCGTATACAGGTTATGAGACATTCTGACCGACCGACCGACCGACCAGAGGAGCCCACCACGCTATTTAGGTCACGCCTTGCTATATACGATTTAACGATATACCGTCGGTCCATCGATCCGCTATTTTTCGATGCACCCCTGTATACACGTTCTGAATGCCCCCCGTAATCCACGCCAACACCAGACAGGTGCGACATCGGCGCCATCTATGCGCGAGATGCCCAACCCATCAATGGCAGCTGTCCAATGACGTATAACAGATGACGTTTTAACGCCATCTATGCGTGAGATGCCCAATGACGCATGACAGGTGTCCAATGACACACAGATTCCGTTTGGTTTGACAGCGCCATCTAGCGGCGGAATCCCCAACTCATGAATTTCGATTACAGATTCCGTCCAACAACCTGTCAATGGCGCGCGACGCCAGCGCCTCTGGTGGCGGATTTTGGAAGTTTTGAGACCGAATCCCCATAAGACATCTACTTATGATTTTCATTACACCTATATGCTACCAAAAATGGGTGCAGAAAGGTGTAAGCTCATGTACATGGACACAGACAGTTTTATCTACGAATTGCAATGTGAGGATGCATATGAGGAGATCATTAAAGCTGATTCCAGTAAATTTGATACTTCGGATTATCCTGAAAATAACATATATAAAATACTGCGTAAGAACAAAAAGGTGCCGGGTCTAATGAAAGATGAAAATAACGGTAAAATTATGACACATTTTGTTGGACTTCGAAGCAAAATGTATAGTTACAAGGTGCAGGGTGGGAAGGTGGTTAAAAAATCTAAAGGGGTTAAGTACAATGTTGTTAAAAATAAAATTGCATTTGAGGATTATGTTGAATGTTTGAAAGAATTTAAGGAAAAAACAGCTACACAACGCTGTATCAGGTCGTATGCACACAACGTATATTCTGTTGAACAGTCAAAAATTAGTTTAAGTCCGTATGACGACAAACGTTATTTAATTCCGAACAGTTTTGACACACTTCCGTGGGGGCATTACAGTATCTTATAATAGCGTTTTTTTTTTGTTATAGATGAATGCCCCAACATTATCAGAGTTAGCTGTTAGAAAAATTTGCGAATCAATAACATCATCCGCAGTAGAATTCATGGAGCAGTCTCCACTACCATGGAAATTAACTACGGAAATTGTGAAACAATTTCCTTTATATAAATGGCACGCTATGATTAAAGAAGCCAAAAATGATCTTGATTCTTCATATACAGGAATTAACTTTATTAGATGTCACAAAGAAATAGATCCAAATTTAATTCACAATATATTAGGAAAATCAGATTGGGGTTATGTTTTTGAAGATTATTCTAGTTACTGTCTATGGACAAGTGGATATTGGCTGGACCAATATTACCTACACGTATGTAAAAATTGTTTATCTAAATTTAAAGAAATACATAAAACTTTAAATAAACGTTTATTTGCCTGCTATGACCATTCTCACGAGGTTCACGATGCACATGACATTATTTTGAACGTATACCAAAAAAAGTATAATTGGTGTCACAGCTGCTTTAAAAGCGTAGTGTTTGAACTAAAAGACCAGGAATCTTGCAGAGATGCCTTACATGATAGGTCTACAAATAACATCCGAATCCGATTTGATGAATCTGATGTAGACAGCGATATTGAGTTTTAAAAAAACATCACAGCAAACAAATTACAAAAAAATATATAAAAAGCGTTCATCCGTCCTCCAGTTTCTCTCTATCTATTGTACTAACATTTATATATATATATATTTTTTCAAACATGTATGTAGTACTAACATTTATATATATATATATATTTTTTTTCAAACATGTATGTAATTAGATTTAATAAATGAATATTTATAAAAAAATGTTTTATTGATTTCGTTAGATTTTTCTAGTAAGAAGAGTTCACAACAACAAGATGTCCTGATAGCTTGAGTCGTCAGAGGTGTGCAACATCAGAAGCAATGTTAGTGCGTGGTTGGAGTTCAAAACTTAGCGTGTTCAAAAATAAAAAAAACACGCACACACATAATACTAACATTACTTCTGATGTTGTGGCGTGGTTCTTCGGGCTATCAAGACATCTTTTTGGTATTTTTGAACAAAGTGTGCACGTCACGTATCACGTCACGTGCGTCACGTATCACGTCACGTGCGTCACGTATCACGTCACGTGCGTCACGTGTCACGTCACGTGTGTCACGTCACGTCACGTGTCACGTTACGTGACGTATATCATAATGAAACGACAGATATGCATTTTTACAAAAACTTTATTAAAATCGTTCAAGATCATTAGCGATCCTATGTCTATAGAAAAATATATGTTGTCCTAACGCTATATGTTGTAAAGTACAGCCTACGAGCTTAAATGTATACAATTTTTGAATAGCATCTGAAAACGTATAATTTTGATCATTAAAACTAGCTCGAACAATCTTAAGCGCATTATAATAATAGCTTGGAAATTCAACAGTTTCTAGCATAGACATATACGGTACTAAAAGTTCATTATTTGCTTCTAAAAGAGCGTTCACGTCCATTTCTGAGAGGTAGAAACTAATGTTGTGCTTGGTTATTTCGAGAATTTTCGTACTACCATAGATTAGTCGTCGAATTCGGCAATAGTCACCGCACTCGATTTCGACAGGATCATACTTGTCAGGAAGGTTCTTCTCCTCCTCGTCCTCCTCCGTCTCCTTCACCGTTACCACATTGAGCTGGGTGATTAATTGTTCCCACTCATAGGAACTGAAAGATAGTTTCAACCGTGATGAGTTCCACACAATTACAGCAGGAGTAAATGATCTCGCTGGGCTTAGACCGCATCCAATTCGGTATGATCCATTTGGAAACTGCGTGTACAGCAGATAATGGTCCTCGTTCTTGGCCGCTTCTTCGTACCTTTCCAGAATAGCATCCAGCTCACGGTCGTAGTTTACAGATGATTCGTGTGAGCTGCTGGTGAGGTCAAACTCGCTGCAACTTGAACCACTAGCACTGGTATCCATTTTTATTTTTTTTACTAGCTGCCTGACTGACTGACTGACTGACTGCAACCGACTGAGAACTCACTTTTAGCAGAAACCCCCCCCACCCCATACACCTAGACGATCGCATCATTGTCAATCCAACTATTATGTTTTGCATCAAGGCCAAGCCATTTGACGTACATTTTTTTACCTTTACGACGTAAAACTTTTTCAACTAAATAAACATCTGGATTGGCTGTTTTCTGTAATTCTTCGTCATAAAAGGCTCCTTTGATCGGTGCACCTTGCATATCTTCGAGCATGTACGTTGCAGGGTTGGTAATATTAATTTTAGTAACTTTAAATAATTCCGTTGTCCAACTTGGAACGTATCCCTTGTCGAATAGCATTTTGGTTTTGCTGATGCGTACAATGTCACCAACTTTAAACTTACGCGGGCCCGCGATTTTTAAATGAGTATATTTTCGATTTAAGATACATTTTTCGTTGGATTTATTAATTTGTGATGGTTTACATCCGATGGTTTGATGACGTGTTCCATTGTATTCATTGGTAATGCTTTGTAATATATCAATCCATTTATACGATCCCATTAAGCTAAAGTATTTGTAAAGTTTATTTTTCAACGTCCTTATGGCTCTTTCAGCAATGGCCGCTTTCTTGATGCTATATGTACTATAATGATTAATATCATGCTTCTTCATTAAAGTTTGAAATTTACTATTTTAAAATTCTTTACCTTGATCAGATTGTAGATTTTTCGGCGTACGTTCCGTATGTGCGAGAATATCCGAAAACGCACGAGTTATCTCCTCACCCGTCTTTGTCTTTAACGGTCTAGTCCACATAAACTTGGAAAAAGAATCGATTACGACGAGAATTAATTTGAAATTTTTATTTTGATGAGCATAAGGTCGCATTTCAGCCAAGTCCGTCTGCCATAAATCGTCTAAGCCTTTAATGATGGTACGTCGTCTTAGATAATTTTTTCGAGCAGGCTTGTGCAGCTCGTTAACTAGTTGTAGCTTCTCCTTGGCGTACGTCATCATGTTTTAACGCTTTAAATTGTTGTTCCATCGGCTTTATACGCTTAGCAAGATCAAATGTTTTCAATGATATATATATGATGTGCGTCCTTGCAAAAGTTGTAATTCAGAGGATAAATCAATGATATTTTTCCGTATTGGAGTCAAATCGGTATGAGACTTAATTGTAGCCAACTCCTGTTCTATTCTTGTTGTTATATTTGCAATAGAGTCATCTACATATTTTTTTGTTGCCATATGTTTACCAGAAGTAGGCGGATTTCTCGAAATAAACTCTGTTATTTGATCTGTTTTTGCTGTTATTTTTTTTAAATCAATCACTGAAGTATCTACGTATTTTTTAGTTGCCGCATCTGAATTATCTGTGGGATCTTTTATATTACACAACTTTACGTTCTTGAAGTCAACATTTCCATCAGAAGTATGGGGTAGTGTTAACTTTGGCGGTGTACGCATATACGGAAGTGTCTTTTGTTTATCAAAGCGACGTCCGAATTTATCAAGACTCATCGTGTAAATGAAAGACCAAGGAACTAGATTACTGTATTATATTAGCTTCTTTCAGCTCGTTGAGGATGGCTACTATTTCATTATCATGCGACGTATTGCCAGCTTCCTGAGATGCCATAAGGAGTTTAAGTCGATCGATTAATTCATTGGGATCATCCCAGTACACGTATTCGATTGGTTCCTCGTTGTATGTCAAGTAATCACCGATACCTTTTCCTGTTGGCGGTTTTGATGTTGATGATGTTGTTGTTGTTGTTGTTGAGGGAGTGGATCTTGTTAATGATCGACTAAGTGGACTACGTATTTTTGTAGATGTTGATCGTGTGACAATTGTACCTTTATTTTTCTGCACATCTTTAAAGAGAGGCTTAATAATGTTATTATATTTAAATCCTGTCGAACCTTTTAGGCGTCCAAGCGAATCTAAATGAACACCGGTACTTTGCAATAGATTTTTATAGGGTTGTAAATCTGCATCTGCATAGTTTGGGTCATTATAGAATAAAAGTTGATACAGCCCAGGTGTGCCACGAAACCATGTACCTGCTAAGTTTGTCCCCTCAGGTAATATCTGTATTTGGCCAGTCGCTCTATCAAATTTAATTCGGCGTTTACCTAACATCCAACCAATGTTGTCGGTATATATAGGTCCATAATTTTTATCAATTTTATCGTTTTGTGTCCAAAAATCTTGTAAATAATTATGGCTTATTGGGGGATATTGATCTAAGTATTCCTCTATTGCTTCTTGTGAAATATCAGCAGGACGCATTTCTTCAGGTAGTGGTGGTGTTTCAGGTCTCGGCGGTATATTACCTTGTTCATCAGTTGAAGCCACGTCTTCTAAATTGAGATAGTTTGGGTTCTGTGTGAATACATCATCATCATCATCATCATCCTGTTTCAATTTTTCCTCTTTGTTAATAATAAATGAAGGATGCTGCTGAGTCTTAGCTATTTGCTTAAGAGGTTCAGATATTGGTTTGAAAAGTTTTCTAATAGATTCATCTTCTGCAGTTCGACCTAACTTTAAAGTAAGATACTTTTTACGTATAGCTCGAGCAAGTTCTGCGATCTTTCTTTTATGACTAGCAACGGCAACTTGGTCCTTTGACATCATGTTACTGAATGATGGCGTACATGATAAGCCTACAATTTTATGTACTTATCAAATCCTACTCTGTATCGACCATAATTAAGAGGAAAGTCTTTAACAATAACTAACGTACCGTACTTTTCTGCCCAACATTCCGAACACATCTTTTTGAATTCATCAAAAGTAACATCTGGAGATACATGCTCATCAAATATATGTTTTAGATTAATTTCATCCTGCTTAAATAGTACTATAATGTTACAGTTGTCTCGTATGAGCTGTTTTGGAATTTTAGAGTATGTTTGGCAGAGATATGCAGCATCGATATCTTTATGACGACACATGGAGTAATACTCTCGAATTTTCTGCTGACCGTCACACGACACGTCGTCAAATATGAATATAGAGCTATTTTTAGCCTTACTTGGACTTATAATTTCCTCGTTATCCTTAAATGGGAAATAGCCAACACCCTTAGCAGCGGAAATCACTTCTTGAAGCAGTTGATACTTTGGTTGATACAACGATTTTGAATAAACGTAAACATTTTTAAACTTAGCACCGTTTGGATGGAAAAGCAGCGCCAGCATTACGTTCGTTTTTCCACATCCGCTTGGTCCGCAGATGATAGCGCGAAACGAATTCGGTAACAATTTACCATGTTTACTATGTTGAGTTTTTGCTGTAAAATCCAAGTTATCAATGGGTAATGACTGCTCTTGTTGAACAACCTTCATCGTGTGGCGTTCGAATAAGGAATGTGTAAAAGTATATATGTAGATATTGCTAACGCATCATCAACAGTTCTCATGTTAACGTACAAGGGTGAAGGTGTTGTAAACTCTCTGATAAATAATCTTCCGATAGAACTCCACGTACCTTCGTATCAGTTCCTGGGACGTAAGTGTGCGACAGATTAGGATATTTTTTTTTTCATTCTCACACATGTATATGTATATTTTCAGCGGGGACTAAATTAAAGAAGAGGTTAGCACGAGGAGATCCTGGAAAGAACCCATTGGATCGTGCTGCAAGAGACCACGATATTGCATACGCCTTATACAAAAATTTGAAAGACAGACACAAAGCTGATTGGATTCTTGAGAACCGAGCCTGGGAACGTGTAAAAGCACCTGACGCTTCACTAGGAGAAAAGACTGCAGCTTGGCTAACAACCACCGCAATGAAAGTTAAGCGAAAATTGGGTATGGGGCAGAAGAAATCATCTTTTCGACGAGGTGTTCTCACGAAAATCACAAAGTCCTTGAAGAAAAATGCTCCCACCACCACGACATTAAAAAAGTCTGCATTGGTTGCTCTTAAAGCGGCAAGATTAGCGGTGAAGAGTGCAGGTGGAAAACATAAAGTTCGACTACCGAGAATAATTCCGATCGAAGGAAAATCTGGGGGATTCCTACCCTTGATCCCCCTTTTCGCCGGATTAAGTGCCTTGGGGGCGCTCGCAGGGGGAGCTGCAGGTGTGGCCAAAACGGTCGTTGATGCCAAGAATGCACAAAAGAAATTGGAGGAAGACCATCGCCATAACAAAGCTATGGAGTCTTTGGGCAAAGGATTGTATTTGAGAAAAAATGCTAAAGGTGGTTATGGGTTGTACCTCAAAAAAAAACTCAAAAAAACTAAACATCAAGCTACCCAAGAAAGCGCTTTATGATTATGAAATAAAGCAATATGCGAAGCTCTTGAACATACCTCATTTCCGAGGTGTCTTCATGCGTGACACTTTACCACGAGACGGTCCACGTAAAAGAGAATGCGCCGTCGTGAACTTAGATATTTCACAAAACAACGGAACTCATTGGGTAGCTTATAAAAAGATAAACAACAACGTTGAGTATTTCGATTCATTTGGTAACCTGAAGCCTCCACAGGAACTTGTTCGATATCTGAAAAACGCTAAAATTTTCTACAACAACGATCCTTACCAAACTTATAATCAAGTTAATTGCGGACAATTGTGTTTGAAATTTCTAAACAATAACAACAACAACGATGGATAATAAAACATTATCGGAATTTACATTAGAAGAGTTTGAGAAGAATATTCCGCCGCTGGAATATTTAATAAGCAATGTGAGACCTGCAGAATTATTGAGTATATGGCACAAACTGCCTGCAGAATACACATCCAATTTTGATCTTCAAATACGACTTCCATGCTATGTTCACTACAACAGACCTGATTGGGCAACACATTGGGATGGACCGGCTACTGCTCAAGCAAATTGTTATTTCTAAATTATCCATTCGAAAATAAACAAAAAAAAAACTTGAATAAATGCTTAGTACACAGCTATA